TTGCGTTCTGTACTTGATAGAAAGCACAAATTAATGTTTACTGCCATGGGCCTCCCAAGGAATTTTCACAGGTGCGGGGGCAAGACAGAATCTTAAATTCTAGCCGTTTAAGAATATTTTTAATAATCGCTGTACTGCTGTGGGTCTATGTGATAAAAGAATGATTGTTTTGTAATTTCTGTACATTTAAGAACTTACTAGAGTACAGTCAAATTACAATATATCAGATGCTATTTATTATTTATTTTAACTATATTATTGACTGTACATGTTTTGACACTCACCAGTCATCCTCAGGCATAGTCACTCACTCACTAATTCATGGAGATAAGTCCTTTTTGATGAGCCGCCAATTGTGCAGCTACTCAAGAACTTCCCAGCGTTTTATGGAACCCAAAGGTTCATTACCGTGTTCACAAGAGCCCTCACTGATTCATATCCTGATCCAGATCAATCCAATCAATACCATCCAATCCTCTTCCTCTAAGATGCATTTTAATATCATTCAGCCACACACGTCTTGGTCTTCCTAGTAGTGTCTTTCTTTGTGGCTTTTCCACCAATATCTTATGTTCATTCTTCTTCTCCTCTTTCCCCCTTATTCGTGCTACATGCCCTGCCCATCGCACCCTCCTTGACTTGATCATTCTAATTATTTTTGGAGAAGAGTACAAGTTATGAAGGTCCTCATTATGCAGTTTTCTCTACCCTCCCTTCTCTTCATCTCTCTTGGGTCCAAATATTCTCCTCAACACTCTGTTCTCAAACACCCCCAGTCTGTGTTCCTCCCTTAATATCCGAGACCAAGTTTCACACCCATACAGAACCAAGCATATCTATTCCAAAAATACATAGGTAAAACTCTCAAGGTTATTTTACAAGATTGTATATAAAATTATAAAACTTATTATAAATTAGTAAACAGGTAAAGTAGCACCATGTTATAATAATTAAGTACTGAAATAGCCTAAAGGGACCAGAGGAAGACTCTTGTGAACACGGTAATGAACTTTCTGTTTCCGTAAAATGTTGGGAAGATCTTGAGTAGATGCACAACTGACGGCTTCTCAAGAAGGGCTGAGCTACATGAAATTAATTAGTTACTAAAATATTTTTTGATGCAATTCAAACTTGCTCAAGAATATTTTACAACATTGTACATAAAATTTAAATATTTGTCCTATAATTAGTCAACAAGTGAAGCAGCTCCATGTTATAATATTAATTAAGTATTAAACGATTATGTGATTCAGTTCAAAGGCCCTGTTGTTCCAAAACTCCTGTGGAGAATTAGTTAGATGACAGCATGACAAGCAGATGAATGGAAGTAGGAGGCATTTATATCATTATCAGTAGAAGGGCGAGCTTCTTTTAATTATTGGTAGTAATATGTGGTAGGTCCAAATTTCTTTTTCAGTTTGAATTTTTCTGAAGTCCAAGGGACCTGGCTTCTCACCCCCACTCCTGTCGACTTTTATGCCTCCTGCATATCTTTACAATAAGTTGACCGTGGCTTTAGTTGAATTATAATGGTCTCTGTTAAAATTAGTATCCCAATTCAGTGAGAGATTGGAGGGACTCAGTAAGTTATATTGGTTTATGTTACGTCTGGTAACAGCAAATGAACCTAAAATTAAGCAAACGCATTCTTAGTCTCATGTTATAAAATCGTTGCGTGCTGTCTAGAGTGGTCGCCAAGTTCTCAAGAATTGTTTTAAGTGTGTTTGTATTCAAGCTCAATTTTGGTAAGCCAGTAAGTCATCAAGATTCAATATATCTGCTTCTGGAAAATTTAGCAGTAGCTGGCGAAACATCTCGCCAGTTGTTTCATGAATATGCAGAAACATTTTGTAGATTACTTTAGATCTATGTTGTCTAAACTGGCTCTGGGGCCCACCAAGCCTCCTATCCAATGGGTACAGGAGATAAAGCGCCTGGAACGTGAAGCTCACCACTCCCCTCCAACTAATGACGAGGTCAAGAAAGCGTGGGTTTACGAGTATACATCCACTCCCCCATACGTCTTCATGGTGTAATGCTTAACTAGTTAAGCACAGGCACAAATTTTATTTTAGGTATGGAGAGGCTGTAAAGCTATTTAGGTTTCTGGTCTCACTTTACAGCCTGATAAGAGTCCACACATTTCGCTGACCAGCAGAAATATTGTACTGCGCATTTTTATGCTTCTGTTAGGGAGTCATGTCATCACAGAGTTTTAGAATTCCTGTCGTACAGTATATGCCGTCGGTCTGAGCCGTGTTTAAATTCATGTTCGGTGATATTTCTCCGCAATGTTGTACTAACATCACTCGTGAAACTCAGCTCCGTGTGAAACCAGTGAACCGCAACGAATGTTACGTGGACCTGGGAACTCTAGTCCGTTGTTGGGAGACATACTTGATGTGTGTTTGGTCAGATTTACTTTCACGGCTAGCACAAACCGGACTGAAGGTTATAAGTACGCTTGACCTATCCAACATGTAAGGTAACTCGGTTTTATACATGACGAGTTACTATATGATGAATTAGCGGGAGCAGGAAAGACATCCATCGGCTGTCGAGTCACTATCACTCTCTCACTCACTCATGGAGCTGAGCCCTTCTTGATGAGCCGCCACTTATGTAGCTACTCAAGACCTTCCCAACATTTCATGGAACCCGAAGGTTCATTACCGTGTACACAAAAGCCCTCCACTGGTCCTTATTCTCAGCCAGATCAATCCAATCCATACCATCCCATCCCATCTCTCTAAGATCCATTTTAATATTGTCCACCTACCTACGTCTTGGTCTTCCCAATGGTCTCTTTCCTTCTGGTTTTCCCACCAATATACTATATGCATTCCCCTTCTCCCCATTCGTTCTACATGCCCTGCCAATCTCATCCCCCTTGACTTGATTATTCTAATTATGCTTATGATGCTCCTCATTATGCAGTTTTCTCCACCATCCTGTCACTTCATCTCTCTTTGGTCCAAATATTCTCCTCGGTACCCTGTTCTCAAACACCCTCAGTCTATGTTCCTCCTTTAATGTCAGACATCAAGTTTCACACCGATACAGAACCACAGGCAAAATTATAGTTTTGTATAGTCTAATTTTTTTTTTTTTAGAAAGCAGACGAGAAGACAAAAGGGTCTGGCCTGAATGGTAGCAAGTAATACCCGAGTTCAATCTCCTCTTAATTTTCTGTTGAACCAGGTTTTGATTTGGGATAGTCGTTCCAAATATATGAACTGTGCCACATTTTCAAAACATGTGTTACCTACCTTTATGTCCTGATTGTGCCCTGCATTTTTGTGACGGGACAGCAACATATACTTTGTGATAATATAGATAGCGTAAAGAGAAACACACAAACTTCAATTGATGCTAGTAAAGAGGTTGGTCTAGTCACTATCTTATGACAATATTGAGGAATGTGCAACTTTCACCAGGCTGTGCTGTTAATAGGCACAAATTCAATTCTGATACGTGTTACATATGACTAAATCAGTATTCTTCTTTCGTGCTGTATACTTTAATTTGGCCTCTTCTTCATCTGAAGGTACTGTGTTATACTGGTATTTGTCAAGTAGTAGGATTTTTCGTGGTTTGCATAGTTTACAAGTTATGAAAAACATGAGTTACAGAAGGTTATTTAGTTACGTTCTTACGAAATGATAAGTTTCTGAGAGTCATCCCCTTCAACATCACACTACCATCCTCAATCACAGAGCTATAATGTTATTTGTTATGGGTTGAGTCATACGTTTTTATAACCAGCTACAGGTCTGTAGTTTTAGGAAAGGAAATGGAATATTGTAGCATTTATTTGTAACTTGTGATATGATATTATCATAATCCTTAATCATTACCGTGGCCATATTGCAGTGGTTTTCAGATTTCTTACACTGGCCCCTATTCAAAGACGACCTCTATAGAAAATCACATTTTTTGGGGAACGGATTGCATTGTAGGCTATTTATTATAATGCAACCCTCTATTTAGAGATCATCCTTGTCCTTGACCAGTGACCATGCCAGATCTTTACGATAACCCCTCTGAAAGACACAATAGACGTACTGGACAGCGTGAAGACTTCGATAAATTTGTTAAGAAGTCGTTTAACACCATTATTTGATGAGTTCCGGGATAGAACTGAGACCATAGTTACAAAAGAAATTTAAAACTGTTAAATTTGAAAATAGGCCAGAATATAGGGAAAAAGTGGGAAGGCCCAGATTAAGAGTGTTGGAGGATGCAGAGGATGATTTACGAGACCTGAAAATGAATATATCAGGAGAAAAGAAAGTAACAGGGAAGAGTGGGTTGGTGGTGAAGGTGGAGAACATGTTGCCTCCATCTTGAGCTCTTGCACCTACTCTATACGAATAATGTATGCAATTGTAATGAAGATAACGCTGAATCCGAAATTCCATGGTGGATTACACTGTGAAGCAGAGATCTGAAGCATGTGTGGTGAGAAAGGGATTGCTTGAGTTTGGGTTAAGTAGTTCGCAATGTCCAAGATTGTATGCTTGGACACACAGAATAAACACTTCTTAAGTGAGTACCAAACAAACAAACAAACGAAAACCCCATGGCTTTAGTCTGCAAGCGAACTATACCGACCGAGCGGCCGCCGCTAGTCGACGAAGTTAGTGCCAACTTTAGCGGATAGAGGGTGTTGCGTGGTCAGCTCAACGAATCCCCACGGACGTTAATTTCGATTTTCTACACCGGAGCCGCTATTTCCTTAAAAGAATTATCTTCACGAGGCTGAGTGCACCCCGTTCCAGACCTACTACTTCTCAGAAAATTTTGTAGAGCCGGGAATCGAACCGAGACCTCTGTATCTGTAGCCAGAACTCTAACCACTGGACCACAGAGACGGTCTCTTGAGTGTCAATAGATTTAATTTGTTTTGGACAGTAGTCTTTGATTGGGCCGTTACGATGATAGGAATAGTGTCTGGGTATAAAGGAAGAGATTGAAAAGACATATTGTATCCTTTTTTAAAACATTTACTTACGAAACTGCTTAGTAATATAAATGCCACAAGGAAACATAGCCAGAGAAAGAGAAATTGAAATAGAATTGTTGCTTAAATTTTGTCGTATCATGTACAACATCGTCCCATCATTTAAGGTGTTGTTGAACTTGACACATTGAAGTTATCGCTTCTAATTGTTGAAGAAACGGACAGCAGTTAATGAGTCCGTCAATTCAACAATTAGATGGGCAGTGTCGTCATCCGGATGTCTTGGTACTACAGCGGACTATGGCACTCAGCGGTAGTAGTAAGCAGCTGGGTAAGCAGCATAGGGATAGGCGGAGTATCCCAGGGCGCCGTATGGTGCAGCGTAGTAGAACTGCTCGGCACCCTTCAGATCCTTCTTGGCCTCTGGTTCAACAGCGGAGACGGCCACGACGACGAACAAAGCGAGGAAAAGGGCGAACTGAAACAGTTGAACGGCAGACTCTATTAATCGTTCGTTGTTCTCCTTTCAATTGTCCCTCAATAGGGCTCACAAAAACTCAAACTCAGTGGTTTTAGTCCGCAAGCAAACTATACCGACCGAGCGATCGCCGCTTGTCGGCGAAGTTAGTGCCAACTTTAGCAGATAGAGGGTGTCACGTGATCAGCGTAACGAATCCCAACGGACGATAATTTCGATTTTCTAGACCGGAGCCGCCATTTCCTTGAAATAATTATCTTCACGAGGCTGAGCGCACCCCGTTCCAGACCTACTACTTCTCAGAAAATCTGATAGCGCCGGGAATTGAACCCGGACCTCTGGATCTGTAGCCAGGAACTCTGACCACTAGACCACAGAGGCAGTCAGTAGGGCTCAGAAGGAACAAAATTCCTTTTTGGAACATTATGTCTTTTCCACGATTCAACTACAAACATAAATATTCTGCACATTAATTCACTTATCGAACGTGATTAGTACTGTTGCTTGTATTCGAGAGATCTCGATTTTTATTCTCGATCCAGCAGTCGACTTTACCTACAGGTACTTCTTGCTGTTTTTTTTTCAGTCTATCCTGAATATTGATTTTATAATACGTCCTTCCCAGTTCACCGTACACAATTATATATCCATTCGATCCTTTATATGATTAAATTGATAAATAAACTAGGTTAAATCGAGACTCAAGAATAACTTCGGAAAGATTCTTGAAAATCGGTATGAACATATGCCACTGGAGATTTACCCTCATCGTGGGTACAAAATGCTGTAGCAGTATATGTTTGTGAGAAGGAACAAAATGTGTTTCAGCTGTATTGTATGGACTTGAAATTTTGACTGGTGATGTCGTTTCACGTAAGGTATTCATCACTTTACTCAATTTCAACCAAAACAGGAATTTATTGACAAAATTTACTGAAACTTCTAAGTGTAAAATTTAGTGAAAATTCAGCTCTTATAGATTTGTTATCTGCTCACGGAGCGGGGGTGGGGATATGGCATAAGCAATCGTCGCGATTTTGCAAATTTTCGCCGCCAAGGCACTGTAATAAAGATAATTTTCCTCTGTACTTAAGTTTTCGCCTCGACCGAATGAAAACTAATCGGAAAAACAGAAAATAACATCTTTTGAATCTAGTATGGGATTTAACGTAGCCGATCAGCTTCCTAAAATAACACTGTACCTTGCTTGTTAATGGGGAAGAATTATATGGCAGACCCTTTCGTTTCAAATGACAGGGGCAACATGCTTTGGAAGATAATGTAATTAATGAAACAACTTTCTTGTTTTCAGGTTTCGACTGCATCCCGGCTGCTTGCTGTAAAGGTAGAAGAAAGTACATATTTTCATGCTTCTAGTTCGTTTTGCCTTGCTTTTCGCATCTCTGAACCTTTGTGCATATTTTCTAGTCTGATTTCATGGGTTATTTTATTTGCGAATCCTGATACGACATTTCGTCATTTGAGATAATAATTGAAATTTCTTACTTCTTATTACGATCATTATGGACCGGTCTTTTAACCCATTTTTTACGCTACCAAGATATTATATCGCAATATATTTTCATCTGTATATGAAATGTATATCTTCTGTGCCACAGATACATTGAGGTGTAATATAGCGTTGAGAATTGCAGTCAAGTAGTACATTACACATTTGCCGTTAGTCGTATATGATGTACATATACTACTAGTACTTTATGTATGAGAGAAAGTGTGTCATGTGCAGTTGTAATTGTAACTGTGAAAGTGGAAATAATATATCGATGAGAGATTGTATTAATTCTGGACTGCCTATAGAAAAAATATGAATGAACTGCTTTAAGAACTAACACAAGTGAAGAAAGTTTTTTTTCAGAATGGATAATATTGTTGTCTCTCGTATTTTATCCTCCAGATAATTCAGGGATTAAGGTTTATAATAGAAAATATTTTGTATGTAAATAACCTAACGAAACATTGCCATAACCCAGAATGCCGAGATATTAGTTTATTCTCCCTCAAACTCCTATGACTTAGCATAGACATAAGGTTGTATTTAAATGCGAAAGGCTAGAATACTACGCCTTTGCCGTTTTCTTCACGAGGTAGAAGACGTTTGAAAAATTTACGTGTTGAGTGAAATGGCCTTTTCCAGTAATAAAATAAAAAATTTGATTTTCTACCCAACTTTCCCTAGGTCGCAGAGTAGTCTTTGCCATATGAACTTTGTGGCTGGAAGGGGGGTGGGAGTTGCGCACACTGGAAGTATATATACAAATGAGGCACGTCTGGACAGTTTTTAGCTAGATATCTACTCTGTATCTGATAAGGATTTATATCTTTTCAGGGCTCACACAATTTTTCTTCTAACTTAGAAAAATGAAACATTTTACTGCCATATTCACATGTAATATGTAAATTAAACAGCTTTTTGAGCATAATGAGGGCTGTGTCTTTATCACAGATTCTGCATACTTAGTATAAGTACTGTGTTATGAAGAGTTATGAATAAAATACATAAATTTTACAACAATTTTCTATTCTGATAAGTAACTGATTAGCAGTCACATGGATACAATGCTTAGAGAGTGTGCAATTTCGAGTATGTAACTGTTAGGATTTTCATAGCAGAAACAAATTAAACTATAGGAAACCTAGAAAGTTGTAAGCTCATGTTGGCAATCGACATTATTTGTTATCTAAGAAAATATACAATTGTAAAGGCGCCAACTTCATATTATTTGATGTGAAATTATTCGTGTTTTGAAGATAGAAGTTTTGTATACTTACAAAGGCCTTCATGTTGGCTGCGTGGAGACTTGGTGTGCGAGTCTGTAACTGCTGAGAAACTGCTAAGAAGCTTCTGATACTCAAACAAGGGCTCACGCTGATATTTATACTACCCCGAAAATCCTGGGTGGGGTTAACCTTGACAACTTCTGGAATAATTTGCCTTTGCGTTTATAAACATTCCATTTGCGTGGCTTGACTCCCCACCTCGGTCACTTAGGCCCTATTGGTTGTGGGAAGAAGCTCCCACCTTGGGGTGTGGTCCTTCCTTTACCCTACTGTGTTAATAGTTCCCGACGTTTTTACTGCTGTACTTCCTAATTGAATCATTGTATCCTTGAGCACGGTGGAGATTCATGCGGCGGTATAAGGATGCCAGTCTGAGCTCTAATTATATTCCGCATCTGAAAAACACGCAGTAAAAATATTACAGATCTGTAGTACCTTTGAATACACACAGTACGGAGCATGTTCTCAAGGACCAGTCGGTAAAGTTCAAGGCGGTTCTACCTCCGCATCTACTATAGCAGTTAAATTTTGCTCTGATGGAACTCCTTTCCTCTTCTTTGCCTACAGGCGCCCGAAGGCAGAAATAAAGAATTTGTCGCCAATAAGTGCAAAAACGTCCAGTAGTAAAGTCTGTTTTAGATGTTATCTACAACAGGAATGTTCGAATTTCGTCACATGTACCATCGCTGCTACACTGGAACCTTTCGGGCGGTACTCGAAAAAGAAATGTTTTCACGATGGACGATATATTAAGGCCGGTTCACAAGAGTGCTGAGAAAATGAAAACGCCAAGAACAAAGGGGATTACAAAATAAGTTGTGGCATCATCTTTTGTCGTGAACTGCAGCCGTGAATATATATTTTTGCGGTTATGTGGTGCGATACGTTCGGTTATGTTTTATGATAATTTTGTTTATTTTATAAATTGCAAAAAAGGTGTAAAAATATATTTAAAATTGTAGCTATTGTAAAACTGAATGGTCGGTGTATTTTTTTTTGTAAGTAATACAGCGTGAAATACAAGGAGGGATAAAATAATATTATTTTTTTAAGCATCCTCCGTCCTAAGGGCAACAATTTATTGTAGTTCTTTCGCCTTCCTTTCTTCTGCACTACATGTTTCGGCTGCAAACGGCCATCATCAGGTGTATATTCTCACGTAGCTGCTACACTGCACGTAGTTTAAAATTTAAAAAACACTAGTCTTCTCAATTGTTCATTTCGCCGTTGCTAACAGGTTTCGATATATCAGAATCTTCCCCGCTGATATCAGTCAGATATGTACAAAATCTTTGTTAACCTACATACGTCAATTTGATTTTCATAAACTGGCATTTTTAAAATCTTTTAAAATCACACGTATTAAAGATAAGCAGTGGCACGCACACAGGGAGCCTACACAGAATGATACCTGAACAGTGCTGAAAAAAAGAAGTAGCCGCTGCAGCACTATAGACATAAGGCGGGTAACCATGTGAATTTTAAATTTTAAAATTCGAAAGAAAAAACATTTTAAGAAATTTTTAAAATTGGAATTGAAGATTTTAAAAGTGCCAGTTTATGAAAATCAAATTGACGTGTGTAGGTTAACAAAGATTTTGTACATATCTGACTGATATCAGCGGGGAAGTTTCTGATATATCGAAACCTGTTAGCAAAGGAGAAGTGAAAAATTGAAAAGAGTAGTGTTTTTTAAATTTTAAACTACGTGCAGTGTAGCAGCTACGTGAGACTATACACCGGATAATGGCCATTTACGGCCGAAACATGTAGTGTAGAAGAAAGGAAGGCGAAAGAACTACAATAAATTACCCTTAGGACGGAGTTCATGTCATATAAGGATAAAATTAGTTAACTTCCAGACTTTATAACAAATATTTATTGAGTTTTTGCAATTGTATGGTGGAGTAGCCACATGTAGGGCCTAGTATGTATTGATTTTATATACATAAGATCAATAAATAAAGAAGTTTGCCTTTCTTGGTTTTCATTATATTCTTACAATATTGCAGTACATTAGTGGAAAATATGTTCAGTGATTATAACCTACCCCGTATTTGGTTGAGGATATATCATGGCGGAAGAGACGAGGATAATCTAGCGTCAAGTTTGGAAATCTGCGATATGTGTGATATCCGATCACGTAGCCCTCGAAGCTGCTAAAGTTGATTTTGATTAAGTAATTTGTAATTTTAGTATCAGCGTATATTCTTTTAAGGTATGTATCCTGAACCAGCACCTCTGTTGCGGTTATGCTAAGATATTTTGAGATACCTATACTAGTGATTCTCAACCTTTTGCATTTTACATACCACCGGTGTTTTCCTTTTTACAAGCCGTATTCCCACAATTTTAAAGACAATATTTTTCATTTTTTAAGACGTGTACTTTAACAGTTATACACGTTCTGGCATTACATAATTATTAATGGAAGATTAATTATTTATGGAATTCTAAGAATTGGTAATATATTTTATATCGCTACAATTATGTAAAACTACATACAGTTTGTTTCTGTTAGTTGTAATGCAATCGTAATGCAAAATTAATGATAAATTTGTCATTTGTCGGGAAAGTTGTGTAGCTGAATTTTATGTCACTGAATCAATATTTTGGTTACCTCACATTCTACCCAGTCGACAATCAAGAACCACAAATGGCAAGGGTGCCACAGCTTGAGAAACATATATAAACCACATACCGTATTTACGCATATATAGGCCGCACATTTTTTGCCAAAAATTCAAGAGGAAAACTGGGGTACGACTTATATTCGAAATATTCGAAATCACACTTCATTTAAAAAAAACATTCATAATTAGTAATACAGGGTGTAATACTCCTGAAATAATATTCCAAGAAAATTATTTTTTCTATAATTTCTCTCTGAAAATTGTGCTGCGGCCTATACAAGCACGCGGCCTATACATGCGTAAATACGGTAATTCAGTTTGAATGGTTTCTGTCATGACTTATTAACTATATGCGCGCTAATTATTTTTCTCCTCTTTGTAGCTCTTCGTGAGACTCAGTTCAAGGCGTGGAGCTAAGTCAAGAGATGAGAACTTTTTACATTGCGAGATAATAAACAAAATTTCAGACGTGGCAGCCTGTATTCCGTCGTACCACAACAGCAGAAAAACATTTTCAGCACGAAGATTATTGTGGAAATTTGAGGGTTATTTGAAAAGTAACCTCCGTTTATTTTAGGCAACTATTGTAGGAATGACTTATTACCTTGTAAACTATCACATAACTGGTCACCTAGTGTTTGTTCTTGTCTCTACATAGTGATATATGATGTGTACTGAGATGGATAATCCCGCTAGCTACGAAATTCGCGCTGTTATCCAATTTCTTCACGCTAAAAACTTGAGTGATGCGGAAATCTAGCTTGAATTATGCGCTACGGTTTACCGTCAGAATATAGTGAATGAAACACCCGTAAAGACAGTGATGTAGAATGTTCGAAGATGGGCGAATAACAGCTGATGGAACCAGGGTTTCATTTTTTAATGTTGAAACCAAAGATCAGTCAAAGCTGTGGATGCACACATATTCACTAAAGTTAAACTAAAAGGTAAAAAGGTTAAAGCTACGTTGTGTGCCTGCCAGAAAGCTGATGGTATCTGATTTCTGGGACAGAAGTGGAGTGCTGATGATGGAATTTATCCAACAGTGGACCACAATAACGTCAGAAGTGTATTACGAAACATTAAAAACAGCGGAATGCTGACATACTGTGTAGTGCTCCTCCATGACAATGCTCATCCACATACAGCAGCTCGCACTCGAGCACTACTGGAATATTTCAACTGGAAATTGTTTAACGACCCTACTTACAGCCCTGATCTCGCTCGCAGCGACTACAGGCTGTTTACCTACTTGAAGAACTGGCTAAGACCACAGCGCTTAAACAGTAATTAGGATTTGATGGAAGGTGTCAAAACGTTTGACTGATTCATCGCCCAACATTTCCTGTTGTATACAACTTAGTGCTGTGTTATAACTAACTCTGGATCTGGACATTTGTGGTGGCCTTTTCACGAGAGGAGAAAAATTAATAGCTCTTTATCGAGAACATTTTAAGCAGATTTCATATAATTAAACCCGGTTATAAAATTCATTTTAAAGCTAGGAACTCGTTGTTGAATCGGTTATTCATTAATATCCCAGTACTAAAAGGCTGTTCTCATGTGGACGTAGTAACGCCGGCTTAATTCGGATACGAGTTTCGGACATACATTGCCTTGTTAAGTCCTCCCACCCATACCCCCAAGGTTAATGTCTTTTTATAAGAACCAGAATGTAATAGGGTGGGGCACTATAATAGGAATATAAGGTCAATAGTCCAGCTCTTTAGAGGTCTTACAGAAGTTATAACAAGGAAAACTACCATTTTATAAGGCAGCAGAGAGACCGTTCTTTCTCAGTGTTGTGTTCTGGCGTTAGAACAATTTAGTGCCACTGATATTCTTTCTCCAAGTATAATTACATTGGTTAAGTCAAGGAGATTCAGATGGGCGGAGAATTTAGCACGAATGGGGAATAACAGGAATGCATGTATGTGCAGCTCTTCAATAACTTCCCAGCATATCATGGAAACCGAAGTTTCATTACCGAGTTCACAAGGGCCCTCCACTGGTTCGTATCCTGAGCAAGATCAATCTAGTCCATACCATCCCATCCTAGCTCTCTAAGATCTATTTTATTATTATCCACCCACCGACATCTTGATTTTCCTAACAGTCTCTTCCCTATTGCCATTCCAACCAATATCCCCTATGCATTAGGCTTCTCCACCATTCGTGCTACATGCCCTGTCCATCTCATCCTCCTTGAATTGGTCATTCTGATTATACTTGGCGAAGAGTTTAAGTTATGAAGCTCCTCATTATGCAGTTTTCACCAGCCTCCTGTCACTTCATCTCTCTTCGGTCCAAATATTCTCCTCAACACCCTGTTCTCAAACACCCTCAGTCTGTGTTCCTCCTTTAATGTCAGAGATCAAGCTTCGCACCTATACAGAACCACAGGCAAAATTATAGAGCCAGCCAGAACGGTAACTTGAAATACACGGCCCCTTCCTTCTACATCCT